GAAGAAGCACCGAAATCATCTTGGAAGCGTTAGACGAAGCCATAATCGATATCACGAGGTACCAGTAACCGGGTCGATGCTTGTGGTGATGTAAAGTTCAGAAGGCGTGGAAAGACACCGAGCGGGACGCTTACCTTTTGTGGACAGCTTCCATCGATCCGCCATTGTCGCACCGCGAACACTGGACTCCCAAAGATCTCAATGTTATAGAGATTGGACTCCCAAAAGATTATGAGGATAGGTACAGGATATAAAATAACCTGGTAGTAGTACAGAGCGGTGTGGATGATCTTCGACTACATGTAACGCTTACTCCTCCAATGCCTTCGCGTCAGCCTCCTTTGGCGTGTGCGTGCCTGATTCAGCCGTCTTTTCGCCTTCGACCACTGTGACCGGCCCTCCGCGACGACCACCCTTTCCGGTGATGTCGCGCCACATGCCACCAAAGTTCCTTGCCAAACTCTCACGGCCTTCCCATAGAGGATACACACCTACAGCCATAGTACTGCACATCAACCAGATGATGCCGACGATGACCCAACCCGAGAAGAATGATTGGCTGAAGATATAACCTGAGCCATAAAGCGGCATCGGCCAAAGTATGAGCAGGACGAGTGTCATGGTTGCAGTGGTGATCTTTGCGATCTTGGAGGCGCGGAATAGTTTGGCTTGCTCGGCGGCTTCGGCTTCTGGTGAGAGGGCAGCATGACGGCCGTGCACAGCTTCGAAGTCCATGTGCGCGGCTGCTGTGACATCCGAATCGTCCACAAGGCGAATATTCTTCATTGATACCCAATCGTAGTTGTCTTGGTCTTCGTTAGCATGCGCTCAGCCGAGGGGATTACAAACTCACCGACTCCGAATATCAACGTCAAGACTGGAATGAAAATGACAGGCGATAGCAACGCAACAACATTACCAGCCAGCATGGGGTTGTTGGCGCCGGACGTAGCGACGGTGATGACACCATCATTCAACTTAGAGGTGGTGACAAGCCAAGTGATAATGCTGCAGCACAAGCCCAGTACTGGGGACAAAGTTGCTGCCCACTTGTTCTGACCCTTCCACATCAACGTGAGAGTTGCGGGAATTACCGCAGACGAGATAATTACACCCATGAAGACGTACAGCCAGCCCATGCTAATGCCAGCATACCAGAGTCCCGTTGAAAAAGCGGCCATGACCAGCCCAAAGCCGCACACGCATACATGTGACGTGTAAACAAGACGTCGGCCGCTTGCGCCTGGGTTGATGTAGGTCGCGTAAATGTCGTACGTCAGGATACTAGAGACGGCAATGAGCTGCGCACTAAAAGCGGATGTGACAGCCATGAAGACGACGAGAAGTGTAGCTACTGCTCCTCCGGATCCAAGAAGCGCAACTGCAGCATATGGAAGCGTGAGACCGGCACTGATCGAAGCTTCGTCCATGACGTTGGGATATGTGGGAAAGTACTCGGTGCTCTGTAGTGCAAGCGCGGCGAGACCCATGGTGGTCGCGCAAAGCCACTGATAATAGCATTAGCACCAGACTTGGGTATGGACTATCGAGAGTTTTACCGGAATAGCGAACCAGGACAACCCGCCAATGATGTATCCGGGAAGAGCGTGAACCGGGGATGCGGCAATAGCCTTGTTGTAGTCTTGGAACGGTCAGTTTTCGGTTTCCTCTAGCAGCAGATAACTTACATCCGTTGTCCATGAAGACAGTTCCGAAGTTTCCAATGATGTTGATGACGAAGAATATGGCGCCGTCCTTGCTCCGCATTGTGAGATAACTTCCTCCAGCGTTACCGGGAACAGGTGCCGTCGCTGAAAGCTCTTGTAGACGCTCGTAGACCGCTTTAGTCGAACCAAGCCGGTCGCCAGTGGCGTACGTGGTGAAGGCAAAGGTCAGAAGGATTACAAGAAGAATGACAGTGTGGACGTAATCCGTCAGGAAGGTGGCCTTGATTCCACCAAACATCGTATAGATGACGACACCCAGAGGAAGTAGGAAACAAGCCGCTGCCGTAGGCACGCCAGTCAAAGAGCTGATGACGGCTGATCCTCCAGTCAACAACATAGCTGTAACGAGTATGTTGGTGAAAAGGCCGAAAGTGATGTATACGAAATGAGTGGCCTTTCCATAACGAGCGCGCACAGCTTCGAGGAACGTCTATCATATGGTCAGACTTAATACCAGGCTGAGGAACATATTGCACCTACATGAGCGTGAGGAGCTCGCCTCTTCAGTTCGATCGCAACGGTAGCAAATAGCAAAATCTGAACAGTGGCACCGGCAGCATACCAAAGCGGTCCAGAGACACCTATGAATGGTCAATACTTGACCTTAGGGCGATTCAGGTCTAAACATACCATAGCGGAAAGCGACTGATGAACTTTGCAAAAGTGTAGCGGCCCATGTCCAGGATGATACTACAGCTGATGCGACAAGACCAGATTTGACCGTACGACCAGCAGTCGAGAACATCTCAGACGTTTGGAGCTCATTGTTGTAGCGTTTTAGAACCCATGTGGTGAACACCTTGAAATTGTCAGCCCTTGATGTTTCTACTAATCAAATCTCCCGTACCATGCCCAGTGCGAAGAGAAATCCGACGCCCAATACGATGCCATAACCCCAAGCTTGACCAAGAGGTGAGGCCGAAGGCCCAATGGGAGTACCACCACCAGCCATGTGGAAAGATGGAGCGTGCTTCGAGGTTAAGCTTCAGAACAAAGCGTTGGCTGTCAAACCATCTCGCCGGGGCAGACGATGTATCTATACCTCAATGCATCCCCACGATTACCGTCCCCCAGCTTCCGGCTTCAGCTCGGTCCCAAGACTGCTATCTCGAGCATTTCCAACGGCACATACCAACCACTTTCACTTTGCAATTCAGCTGGCGCATGATTGGTTGAAGATAGGCACATTGCAAGACTAGGGAACGTGGAATGAGAGCCAAGCCCAGAAACTTCTTGTCTGCTACGCAATTTTGAAGCTTGTGTTAGCGACAAAGTCTTGTTGTAGGACAGTTTGAAGCTCTTAGCCGACTGGGCAATGCAGGATGGCTCGCCTATGCTGATAAGGAACATGTGCTTGCAAACGGATATGCATTACGCTTGTCTCATAGTGGCGGGCAGGACCGAACGGTGCAGCGGAACTTTTCTTGCTGCATTATGAATGGCCGACGGGTAAGGGTATTTGCTTGGGCAGGAAAACTTGGGTCTGGGCGTGGAGATGGTGGTCATGTTGGAGGCATGTTGGAGTTGGTGGTTTCGATGAGGTAAACAGGAGATTGAAGATAAGCGATGGCTTGGTAGCCAATGAGACGGCGCTGGCGGTGGGGTCCGAAGTCGGCTTGCAGGAGCTGACCCCTGTGTCCCAGCTTTCTCCACGGTGATGATCGACGTGCATCGTTGTAATGTTGCTGTTACTCGATCACTTCGACAAATGCCAGCCACTCTTACCATAAGTCGTCCGCAGGGGAAATGTGGAGAGCTGGAACACTTGGGTACGAGGGAGGACGTTAGTCGAATGGCATCCATGATTGCTAAGGGCTTCTTTTCGCATCGTACTAGGGACGTGTTTTTTGTGTAGCGCTTCGATGAACGAAGCGACGAAGTGTTTCATCGTTTGGTGTTGTTCTAAACATCTATCCTTCTGCTCGTTCACTTTTCATCTCCATGGTCTTGTTGTCGGTCGCCTCAGTGTAGCCCTTCCTCCAAAGACTCTCCAACGTTGACTCGCTGACTTTGGGGACCACCTTTGCGAGATTCCGGTGTTTTCCAATCATGCATCTGCTCCGCATCCGAGTCGTTAAGTAGCTTTTGTCATGTTGCTCGCGGCTTTTGTTGGCTTTCGCACTCTGCCTGGTACATCTGGGGATAGCCAAAGGTTCGTAGATTGAAGCATTTATCCATCTTGTCGAAAGTATGCTTACCCCGAACTTTTCTGGGTCTATGGTATTCGTTGAAGTCATGTGTTCATGGTACTGGTCTCTTTACTGTATCGCTTCACGTGCTTTGCGATTCGAATTCCCTGGCCCTTTGTTTGTTCCTTCCAATCAACCTCGACAGCATACTCACATCAGACAGAGACGCTGTCCGATTTTCACAGTATGAGACGTTCACTTTCCGTTTCGATCCTCATGGTTTGATATCCAATCAGGTTTGGTTGTCACCACTACTCGACAACAGCTTCTCTTACGCACAAAAACAACTCTGTTCCAGTTCCAGTCATGCACCCTGATCCATCCGCACTAGCCGTTGAGGAGTGGCAGCTGAGGCCTCGAACCGCGGCCACCCTGTATGCATTAGTTGTACCTCGAGCTCCACGTATTGTTAAGAACACAAGCAAATGATGACACGATCGAAGGCAAGAGACGGGCCGACCCTGTCTTCGACTCTGGAGGTGCCACGAGTAGCTCACTAGCATGCGTGTCTAAGCGTGCAGAATTGACAGGTACGATTGCGAGCGATCATTGCACAAATGACATTGACATCCAACGCAGGAGGTGTGTATGCTGGCGTCGCGCCACAGAAAAACAATCGACGGTTACGGCTTCACCCGGCTTACTCACGGTGTCACAACCCTCTCGGTTGCAAGAAGCCTGTGTAACAGTTCATCTCCCGGTTCCAGCAAGATCCTGGCCATTGCTGGAGGCAACATCACGGTTGGGGCGGGGTCTGCGTGTGCATTTGTGGCTTTGTAGCTGTCAGTGCCTTCCTACGCTAGGGGCTCTCGTATGGTCATGATATTAGAGTCGATGTCGAAGCAGTCCGGGCGCCCAATCAGGAAGGTGTAGTAAAGGACGCCAGGGTTGTACGGATCTCGCTTTGTGTAATGTGGTGGCGTCTATGCCCCTGCGGAGCTTGTCCATCTCGCCGAAGTGCGACCGCCGTAAGCAACTGCTCCAGGCCTCTTTCCTGATCTGGTAAATTATCTGATGTGATATTGGAGTACCCAGGTATATAGAAGGGTATCGATCCCCGTCAGTCTTCTGAATAGCCACCGGTATGATGTTGTCGCTTTTGATACTCCTCGCAATTGGGGTCCGTGCCCTTGCTTACACCATCCAAGATGGATGTCCACGGGAACTCGGCGCGGAAGGCGTGCGGGCTCGCATACCACCTACCTTCAACACTACGGATCATGGCCACCATCATGGCAGAGCATGGCCGGCGCCACCCGTTGGCTTCTACTTCAAGCCGTGGTCGATGATCCTTGCGTCGAATCCTCAGTACGCTGCTATGCGGAATGTGCAATACGACCCGACGCCGATCGATCCCTCGGACCCTACCGGACTTGTGAATGATCTCTTCTCGTTCCAGTTCCCAGGCAATGACAGCATCATAACAACCTATGGTGTCGATGCACCTCACCCCTACTTCCCAACTGTGCTCGACTATGCAGGAACAGGGATACTTGTGGGCGCTACTAGCCAGTACAGTATTCTAGTCTGGGGATGCGATATCAACAAAGTTCCGTATTATGCCAGCTATTCGACAGCAGTGAATTCCACAGATACGCCCGCAGGTATCGACTTGATGAGTACGAGCGATCAAGGGCCTGACCAGGATACCATCCATGCTGTTATTGAGGCGTTGAAGAAGCTGGGCAGCGACGAGATTACGAAGTACGTTGAGGCGTTGGAAAGGATGGTACAGGACGGCGGGAGAAGGGGCATGCCCAGAGTAGGTATATGTGATGTGTCGAAAGATACAAGCTGACATAAGATCGCAGACTACGTGTGACGATTACTGTAAGACGAATCAGGGCTTGCTTGGAATTGTAGGTTGAGGCCTGGCTGAGGGGAGATTAGCATGTCATGCTCGAAGATTCGAGTAGTGATGGTGGAGAATGCTGCTCGCATCTTTCGTCTTGTGCTGGCTTCCTAGCGAGTGCATAGCTAGAATCTAGTCGGCGAGAGATTGTATCTGTATCGTAATGCTGTGCATCCCATGTGGTACCTATGCGCTTCATAGAGGGCAGCTCTGCAGAGCAAATGTCATAGATAAACAGGTCAATCACGATGGGGTGTGTGGGGGTGAAGGAGCTTCGAGACCGGAGTTCAGCAGGTGCTCCTCCGCTGTGGGTCCTGCCAAGTCCCTGCCGCATTAGCGCCAAAAAAGTTCAGAAGTTCTGTAGAGAATCTATGGATAACGCAAACTTCAACGAGACAACATCGCAACACTTGTCGTAGTTTGACATCATATCCAGACACAATGGCGAAGCGCAAACTTAACGAGCACGACGTGCCAGAGGAGACATCGAGCGACGAGTCGCAATCCGAGCCCCGCAGCTCGCCCGAACCTTCGACACCTGCCGAGACCGCGACTGCGACTGCGACTGCGACTGCTCCCACCACGACAGTAACACCAACCAAAAAAGCGAAGAACAAGAAAAAGGCTAAAACAGCGACTGCCGCCGTTCCTGAAGTGCCTATCGCCGCTTCCTTCGCCGAATTACAACTCGAACCCCGTCTATTAAGAGCAATCCGCGACCTGAAATGGGCATCACCGACGGCGGTACAATCGCAGGCGATACCGTTAGCTCTAGAGGGACGCGACATTCTTGCGCGCTCCGGAACTGGCACAGGCAAGACGGGCGCCTACCTGCTTCCCATCCTGCACAAGACCTTGCAGCAGAAGGGCCAATCCCTCATTCTGGCACCCACACGAGAGCTATGCTTGCAAATCGCGACAGTAGCCAAGTCGCTTGCACAACACTGCGGACAAGAAATTCGGGTTCGCAACATCGCGGGCAAGGAGTCAGAAGTCGTCACAAAGGCAGCCCTCGCCGACAAGCCTGAGATTGTCGTCGCAACACCTGCTAGAGCATGGACAAACATCAACAGCTCGAACCTCGCAGTCAGCGACATCAGGACACTCGTCGTCGACGAGGGTGACCTGATCAATGGTTACGGATTCGCTGAGGACATGGAGAACATTGCGAGTGAGATACCTGTCGGTGTCCAGAAGATCGTCCTCTCCGCTACCCTCTCAACCGATGTCGAGTCGCTCGGCAGCCTGCTCTGCACCGACCCTGTTGTACTCAAGCTTGCAGACCTGGATAAGGACTCACAGAAAGTAAAGCAATACGTACTGAAGGTGGCAGAGGACGAGAAATTCCTCTTAATCTACGCAATGTGAGTTTTGTCGCACGAACAGAACGTGTCAAGTATACTGACCACCAACCTTTAGGTTCAAGCTCAACTTAATCAAAGGCAAGACAATCATATTCGTCGGCGATGTGGACAGGTCATACCGGGTCAAGCTCTTCTTGGAACAATTTGCGGTCAAAGCCATCGTGCTCAACTCCGAGCTCCCATTGGCTTCTCGCACGCACATTGTTGAGTCATTCAACACGAACATGTACAACATCCTGATCGCGAGCGACGAGACCGACGTTGTCGGCGTACAGGATGAAGGATCACGGCCGAAGAAGAAGGCGAAGAAGGACAAAGAGAGCAAGGACTCTGGTGTTTCCCGTGGAATCGACTTCCTCAACGTCAGCTGTATCATCAACTTCGACTTTCCTGGAAACTACAAGTCATACTTCCACCGTATTGGACGTACAGCACGAGCCGGCAAGTCTGGAACTGCCATCTCGTTCATCATCCCCAAGGACAAGTACCGCAAGCACAAGCCAACCACCTTCGCTGGGTGCGAACATGATGAGAAGGTACTGGCGAGTGTGGAGAAGCATCAACAGGAAGGCCAGAAGCTGGAAAACTACAACTTCGACATGAAGCGTCTAGAACCTTTCAGATACCGATTCGCAGATGCGTTGAAGTCGGTGACCAGAATCGCTATCCGCGAGGCTCGAATCAAGGAAATCCACATGGAGTTGGCCAAGTCGCAGAAGCTCTCGCGATACTTTGAAGAGAACCCCGAAGCGCTCGCACATCTCCGCCATGATCAGACTCTGAACCACCCTGCAAGGATACAACCACATCTCAAGCACGTCCCAGACTATCTGCTGCCAGGTGGAAAGAAGCCCGAGGATGTCGGCTTCGTGGGTCTAAACATACCGAAGGTGAGGAAACAATATAACAAGGGCAAGGGTAGGAGGGTAGTACGAAGGAACGGCAAGGTTGATCCGTTGAAGACATTCAACGCGAGGGGTAAGGGAAAGAGATAAAATAGTTTTTGCTTCGTTGAAACATGTATAAGTTTCTCTGCGAAGGTTTACCATCAATCTTACGAAATATAATAAATGAACCTTACTTTGTGTTATCTGATGTACATGGCCGAGTTTATGGGCGGGGCTCGGTGCGCCGACCCACTGGACGCGGTAAGCTCCCACTCTCCCGCTGTCGCCTTCCGCTGCGCGTCCTCCCACCACGTATGCACAACCTTGCGACTCGACGAGCGCTATCGGCCAGCGCCCTGCAAAGCGCCCGTAACACTTACGATGACGCCCTGGATTCTGTCTTTCGCGACGAGCAAGTGCCCGTGTACCTATGAATCGCGAGGCATAAGCGCATGCCACGACAAGTAGACCTCGACTACGACCACGACCACGATGCAACCGGATACACCACACATATACCTCTCGCTTGCACTTCGATCGGACACAGCCACTGGTGGAGCGGCAGCTTTCGTTATGTACCGCTTCGCAGAATAAAACGCTGGAAGACAGTCGTGGTTGTCTCTTCTGATAGACGGCAGAATGGCCACGATGGTTCACGATGCACAAGGGCCCAAAAGACAAGCTCATGGGTGAGATCGTACTCTGATTGGGTTATATAACGTATTTGGTAGTGAAAGACGCGACAACGATAGCCCGGAAACGTAACACCTCCCCTCCATAGCAGCTCTCGGAGCTCGCGGTTGTTTTAAAGGCCGTTGGATTCACAATTTCGTAATAAAGAGTAAAGAGCGACAGCGAACGTATTCAATAAGGCGAAGAGATCTGTGGGACACTGGTGTTCTCAGCAGGATACGCATACTGTGCTGTTGGGGGCTGGTCGCGTTCATTCCAATACTTGAGAAGCTTGCTTAAATGGCTCGGGTGGACCTGGCCGATGTCTTTGACTTTGACGTTCTTTTCGATGGGGTACATCTTCCCGAAACGGATGCGGGATTCTGATCGAAGCCTAATCGTGGCGTCAACGGGTATGATCTCTATAGGCTCTTTAGTCATTCCAGCATGCCACTCCCCAGGGAGGTAACAGGATCCCGGATCCGTTCCCGAGAGGTAAGCAATCGTATGTTCCCAGGGCACACAACCTTCTTTGAGGACCCCACGACCAGAATAAGTGCCAATGCCACTGGGCCAAGTTAGTCGAGACGCCTGTTTCACACCCAAGTCAATCTCACCAAGCGTATACGAAACCATGCTTGTCCTCAAGCACTACGAAGCGTCGAATGTTAGTGTGTACCCTTTCGTTGAAACGGACGACGGTATATGCATCGTTGTATGGTTGTGGTTGTGCAGTTCCACCTGCAGCCTCAGAGTATAGCATAGCAAAGACTCTGCCGACAACGAAGAAATCACGGGCTTCACCCCCAGTCCTCATTCGGTAGCCTAAGGGAGACAAATCAGTCAAGCAGGTGTGCGTTTAGGATATGCTTACTTGAGTCTAGAAGGTCGTACCATCCGGTTTGCGGCGTGCCTTGAATAGCGCCTGTCAACGAACGGAATTGTGGTGGAGCTGCATGATACACTTTAGTGACACCTGTTTGATTTGTTGGGTCACTGCGTCATACCTGGGTCAGGCATCTGTGCCACGTTTGAGGCATGGCTCAGCTGCGGGCCCGAATCTTGCCTAGGACGCGTTTCGATTTGCTTGGACCAGTGGTAAACCGGGTTGTCTATTTGGATCAATGGACGTTCGTTTGACTCGGAAATTCACTTGAAACGTGGCAGTACCTACTATACTCGTCATACGTGACATAGTAGTAGTCCTGATATTGGTCGCTCCAGATCCAGTTGCTGGTCGACATGTTGCACGATGCTACCGGATACAACTGCTGGCGCTCAAAGGGCTTTCATACGACAGGGACTGTACACTCCGTGCAGTTCGTGTTACTCACGTCAGTAGAGTCGGTCTGCGCGTTGCGATTGTGTGGATTACGCTTTCCCTGTTATCGGTGACTGAGCCCGAATTTATAGAGGTAGGAGCCGGGAGCATGTCGCGCGATGCGGCTCTGCTGTCTTAACCAGACGACTTGAGAATGGTGTGGTGCGCGCCATGAGAAACTGATCGACCTCCACACTTACCTGCATATGCGCTTCATCTGCTCTTGCTTGCGTATCGAGCGTGTACGTGATGAGTATGCGAGTGTACTGCTAGCTTCCACATTAGACAGGTTCCGCGGTATGGAAATGAGAAACGCGGCAACCCAATCAAAAACGGTCTGTATTATCCCGACACCCAGTAACCCGATAATATCGGCCGTGGCACTAACAGGCCGGATGGGTACATCCAGCTGCATTCTGATTTGCTTGTTCCAAGGCAACCCACGGTACAAATGATGAGCGGCTGGACATCTTCAGCTCCTTTCCGTGCTCAAGCCTCCGAATGGCCGACACATGTCTTGCGTTGCCCCTTATGTAGCACGCAACGCCATATGGTGACCACGTACGCCTACCTTCGAACTTCGGTATGAGAACATAGCTGATGCTTTCGAAGGCATAAGCTGAGTGATCTAAGGGTTCTTTATCAACAAGGAAACCCTGCCGCCACAGTTATGCAAGGGAACATTCCATATCAATAGCTATCCCCATAGCTTTCCTTACACATATGCAAGCTCATGAGTCGCTCATCGTAACGCTATGGAAACCTCACATCAAGCTACGTTTGGTGAACGACCGACTACGCAGTTCGACGCGCTAGCCTCTCTCATCCGCCAATACTTGGGAGAAATGTCGAACACACAAGCTTTATTATCTTCTACCAGGAAGGAGCTGCTGATCGAACGAGAAAGGGTGAAGACAGCTGCTGGCGAGGTTCGTCAGAAACGGATTAACGCCGGTAATGCTGAAGCCAGATTCATGAACCATGTACGGGAATTTGTCAACAATCACCTCGAACAGCTCCCGTCTACTCTCCTCGAAGCATATGATAAGGTTAGAGAAACACGCGATGGTCTTGGGGAGGCAGAGGCGGACTACCTACAGGACGAGGAGGATCTTACTGGTGCAGAATGGATGTTTATGAACCGTGAGAATCGATTCTACCAATTCGATATCAACAGGATCCTGTCGAGTCCACAGCTCAACAACCCTACTTTTCCTCAAGGCCAACCATCCGAAACTGTGTCAAAGCCGCCAATTCATGATCTACCACCTTGCCCGGTGGGATCATTGTCTCCAAGTCAAGTGGCGAGACTACCGCCTCCCCCACCTCCTCCACATATTTGGACGTCGTCTTTGCCTCTTATACCTCATGTCAGTATGAGCGCATCTTTGCTGGCGCCCACGGGCCGAGAGTATCCGGCCGTCATAGAGTTGGGGACCTTAAGGAGGGAGTTTGGTAAGCTGTCACAAAGGGAAAGTTACGATTTCGAATGGGCTGGTGAGAATGAAGCGTTTGTTGCTGAAGAAGACAAAGTTTGTGAAGATCAAGTGATGGCCTCTACGAGCGATGACAGAGATGTCTTACTTGACATCTTCAATTCAGAAGCAAAAGCACAGGAAACCAAAATGGAAGAGTTGGATCTGGCGTTGAATGAGTCAATCCCGACCAGGCGATATTCGGATTCCACGCACCTCTTCAGCTCTGGATCGAATCTCTCAGCCCCTATGAGGAGAACACAGACCGAGAGGGCAACTCCGTTCAATCGTTGTAGTCCTGCTATAGGAAACAAGATACGAGAATGGTCTCTGATGCACCTCAAGCAAAGTGCCGTTCAAAAACGCCTATATTTGAACGCGCTTGAAGACAACGGGATAGACAGCTCAGCTGAAGTTGACTGGAGAGTTCGAGCGACGCGCTTCTGGAGTAAAGACAGTCTTAGTGAGATCAGAGACAGCAGCGAGCTGTATTCAGCTTCCCTAAGTAAAGTTTCATACGAGCCTGAGTCTTGCAACGACGTCAGCTCCACACAGAGCATAACGTCTTCTCTCTTGATGCAACATCAACTGGAAGGTAATATACAACCTCCGAAACCGACGACCGTGGATTCGAGACCTCCGGAGTCTCATGAGATACCACGACAAGATTGTGAAGATGGCCCAACTATAGCGCCTCTGTCACCCACACCACCACCAAGCGATCGCATCACGGAACGAATAGAGGCTGAAAATGAAGAGCAAATAGTAAGTTCAATCAAGGACGGCTTGAATGAACGACAGCACGTACTCAGGGGCGGTGTCTCATCGGATATGGGCATACATCAGCCAAAATGTACTTGTCTTGCCATTGGCGATATGTCACCACGGAAAGATAGTGTCCAAAGTACCCATCAACCTGGCTGCGATATGGCAACCGAGCATGATGGTCAGAACAAGACATATCGCTCTGCGCAAGAGCACGACGACGCTGCATCGATGACGGAGGTTACGATGATGGACAGACATTTTGACCAGACGCACCAAAGCAGATCATTCGACCTACACCCATCCCTTCCTACCAGTTCTGACTACGGCAAAATTGTTTGTAACAAACCAAACTTCGACATCACTGCGCACTCCGATTCACCAAGTCCTTGCGCACCACTCACACCGCTGCCCGCTACAGCCATCAAAGGTGCTCTGAACCCGACAGCAAATCAAATTACGCCTAAACTTCGGCCCACCCCTCAAGCCCGTAGAAATACGATCACTTGGTTCCGGAGTCTGTTTCCCCACTCTAAGAACAAGCGGAGTAAGAGCTCCCCTTCTATCGGAGAATACCATCCAACTACTCATATGTGAAAGCACCCAGTGGCGTGGCAAGACTGTCCGCTTCTGTGACAAGACGTCATCTGTATTATCTCTCGGCCAGTCTTCCCGCGTTCATTGTTGACCCATGTCATGTCGCATTGTTTCGATAGTGTATTACTTACCAAATTACAGCGGTAATGCTACGTTTTTCATTTTCGCGCCGCACCATCGGAAAGACCTTCCGATTCCTAGTATCTCCTTGTCGGGCAGTGGTTGGTTCATGTATATTAGCGTCCAGCAGCTCAATGCATCTATCAGCTCATCAGCGTGGGACGCCATTCGATCCGAGACCACCTGAAACTCCGACTTAAGCATGTTGATAAGCGGGTGAGAAAGGCGGTCGGACAAACGCTCCATTATTGGCAAGCCTCGTGCGGGCTTGCACTCAGCCTGCGTCTTGACCACTCTGTCGGGCGGGACTTGATATGTCCCACGCGGTTGGTGATCAGCAGGACGTCTGCTTACAGGTTCGTGACCTCTCCTGATTAGGAGTCAGCATATCGGAGCCCGAAGAATGGACGGCTGTCGTTCTTTCGGCCCGATAGAATGATAAGTGCCGGTGGTACAGACCCGGCGGGTACACAACAGCCGGTATCGATGATGGGTAGCCGCGCGGTATGCTCAATATGGAAGGAGTTTGCTAAAGCTCACGAACACTGTATTGATGAGTATCGTATTTAAGATGAGCTCTGAAAGTGATGCCCGAATGGCATTGGTGGCAACATATCATCGATGCCGCGATTTTGTATTCCCATTTGTCACTCCCCCACTTCTCCGCTCGCTGAACAGAGACCGAAGAAAACGACAAAGTCTCGCTCTTTTGCTTTTTTATGCACGACACCATCGGTGGGTACCAACGGTCCGCTGCGACCCCACTCGACCCACTATAGCTGCAAGAGGGTGCCTAGCTCCTGTCTCACACGCCGCCCCAACGATTTCCCAAAGGCTAAGATCATAGCAGTGCATGCGCCTCACAAGGCTGGAGATGCAGTCTGCCACACTCATACCATGAATCTGTCCATATGATAGAGCTGGAGATCAGAGACGACCCAACAGCAGGGAACCGACGTGTGACCTACATCCTGCAGCATACGTAAGCCCATTACTGTCCTGCTCACTGCCATTCTACCAATTGTCGCCCTACAACCCCGCTCAAGAAAGGATAGCCATGTGCCTTTATGCCTTGTTTTTCTATTTGAAGGTGCATCCCTTCTTAACAACAAACCACAGGCAAGCCTGAGGACAAGGTACTTGCTTATTCTCATCCGATTGGTGGCACAGCGTGGGTGGACGACTTGATCCACGAAAAACAACCTCGGGAGTGAGGCAGCTCTCCAACAAGTTGATTTGGGCCATACATGTGTTTTTCCGGTCGGTTATTGGGTGTCATTTAGTGGCGACAAGTCCGTCTGAATCGACCAATGAGCTGTACGCTGTATTCCACATCGGTGAGCGAATCCGATACGGCTGAAGGAACGGCTGAATGCATCCCGAAGCCTGGTCGCCAATAGTAAAGTGACCAAAATTGAAAGTTCCGTAGCCAACAGTTAGATAGAATCCACGAAAGAGATGGTCATGGAACTGTGACGAGGATGAATGGTTGAAATCCAGTTCGGGAAAATGGTCAGAGCGCGGTCGAAAGGCATGCGGCTCTGCCATCGGCCATTAATTGGTGGACGAACATGGGTGGGAGCTGTGCGGGCGGTGCATATATGACTCATGACTAGATACACTTGCAGGAGGCTTGCAGGACACATGCACATCGCCAAGGAAATGCACGGAGGTCCAGGCCATGGCTACGAACACTCACGCTGTTGCTGGAAGGCCGTTTTCAGATGCAAACATTTTGAGGATGATGTCAGTCAGCAATGGCTCGGCCACGAGCTATGTAAATTAAGTAAGCCATATCAACAACCGACATGATTGACAAGTAACTGGGAAGTGGTATGATGCGGAGGCTATTGCATACTGTTACAAGCCAGGGTATCGTGATGAGATTATCAGTACCTCCGAGCCTCAAAGAAACCTGCTTTACTCTGCTCCACCGTCCCTCAGCAGTATTTAGTCAATCTTCGTCATAGAGCGCTGACAATAATTCATGTTCCTTCAGCTTGATAGACTCTGATCGGAGCTGGTGTTGTAAATTTGGGGTAAAATCTGCAGTAGAGAAGGTGGATGACTGATGGGCTAGCCACGCATCGTTGTTTTGCCAACCATGTGTATCGCGACATTCAGGAGGACATGCTCCATGATACCCAAGTGCTTGAGGGTTCTGATAGCTTCCTTCGAATTCCACTGATCCTTGATCATATGAATTGTCGCGACCAAGACTGTCATGCGGCCAGGCTTTGAGTATCGAAGAAGACCCGTGGAACGGTTCCCCTGTGTGTTCCGCGATCCTTCTGTGCAGGTTGTATATCTCCCGTGGTGAGATTCGAAGTTGGTGCAATATCCAGCGGTTGACTCTATCAGGTGTGCTTTCGAAGTTCACAAGATAGTCACTAAGAATACCACGAGTTTCGTTATTCTCGCCTAGCAAAAGCAAAGGATTGCCTTCCTCGAGCCCCGGATTGACCGAGTAGTTGTCCATAAAATCTGGCAGTGCATCAGGTATATCAATATAGTTACTCCTAGAGAATGTCGATTCATCGTCAGGCCGTTCCTGAAGCATGGCACCAGTCCCAGTCAAACTCGTCATATCCGAGATCCAGATGCCGATGAAGTCAAATGTGCCTGTCGAATGATTAAATGAGGTCCTCTCATCTGAAAAACTGCTGCTGCGAGGTCTGGGTATATCGGTCGATCCTAGAGACACGGTCCTCCTGTGAGAACCGGCAGGCACCCAAGGCTCTTGGGCGTTTCGTGTGAGTTGTGCAGCATGTTTTGGTAGTTGACCGATGCCAACATTCTCTCCGATCAGAGCTCCATATAGGTGCTCGGTGTCTCCAAGAGCAACATTGTCGTCTGCAGCAGAGGCCACCGAGGAAGCCTCGTATTCGATTTCGGACGGCTCCTTCGGCTTAGTCACCGCTTCTATATTGAGTCTGGAAAAATGCTCGAAAGATCCCTCTAATTTGGCGTACTTTTCAACCAACTGATGCTCTTTGGACCCTAACACGATTTCAAGTGGTTCGTATTCTGATTCGACAGGCCCGATCTCATCCCTTGCCGCCTGCGATGCTTCGAAAAGACGGAGCATTGTACGGTCGTCTGACGGAAAGCTTCCATTGACTCTTTCGCGCATACAGTTGATGAGCATCATGTCGCATTTGGAAACATGTTCTCTTAGTCTGTGCAACTCCTTCCGTCTTTCCTGAACAGCAAGTCGCATTCCGATTACCTCCTTTTGCAGTGCGGCGAAACCTGAGACTTCATCTATGAAGGTAGAGAAAAGTTTCAAGGCCACTATATTTATATACTCACTCCCTGGGATCTCGTCGAAGAGTGTAGGTGACCGGAGAGTATCCGTTAACGGCGGCGGCGGCGGTGGAGGAGGAGGTGGTGGCGGTGGTGCGGGTGATGGCAGTACCGACGAGTATACTGGACTGCCTTTCGGCTTGAGCGGACTTTTATCGTCCACGTCCTGTGCCATATGGCGGTCGCGTAATGGTGAATCAACAGGCACCACATCCTCGTTTCTCTTTTCTTCTTCTATGGACCCGCATGCTTCATCAAAGCGCACCTTTTTTTGTAGTATTCCCTTCTTAAGTGCGCAGGTTGGACATGGAATTAGAGGCGCTGCCGCGGGCTTTGTTAGTGTATCGCCGCGAGTGAAGCCGGCTTCATCATCACGAAGCGCATCAACGCTCGCTTCACGGGCAGAGCATTGCTGGTCGGAACGCCCAGTCATGAGATTCAACTCTCTGAGATATATTAGATAGCCCTTTAGACGTTAGCCCGATACTCTTCTTCTATGATCCATTGATATACCATGGTAAAATCTACAACATCCTGACAAGCCGACATACCGACTGCGTGGTTTAATCATGATTTACAGATCGTCGCTTGTGGCGTTAGTCTTCGGTGATTTCAATCATAATATATAGAGATCATAATCGTCCCTGAGAAGAGAGTGGGAGAACTTTTCATGGTGGGCTGAGCTTGACGCGGGGTCAATACCGGTGAGCTTACGGCGCATATGGTGGCGTTGTCGCTTCAGTGACTTGGCACTTGCAACTCGTTCTGAATGACAGCGCATTTCCAACGGGATTGTGCATCCTTAATCTCACTTTGGTACCGTCGTATATCACCAATGAACCCACTCTCTTACGCATCAGCGTTCCAAAAGTGCGCAACACATGCGAAGCTTTCAAATACTCCTGCTACTATCTACCTTAGCTGGCCTCGCCAGCTTCACAAAAGATTATAGATACCTTACTTACGAAGACAACACTAACGTACCCTGGTATCTGGTCTAGGCTAAGGTCCGCGCTTCAGGTGAGAGAATTTGTCCTTGTTTATGCCTCTCAGTCATCGCTCACCTAAAGCGATGAATGCTTGCTCAGTTGAAGAGAGGGATTAGCTTCAATGGGCGCCACTCACGTGCGCTATCTCTCTAGGTCTGTAAATCACTTAATTTCTATTTACCTAGGTGAAGTGCTGTACGGTTGGGTACGCTGGCTTATCAAATCGCCTCCCTTATAGGATAACACATGTAGAATCAATTTTGTGCCGCGAGATATGACTATGGAGGTGTGAAACAAATGTGGAATCAGAGGCAAGTCAGCAGTTTTATATGATGGCTTCTTATTCTGCACTTTAGAAGAAGGCCTAGAGGTTTACCTTAGCTTAGCTGTGGTCATAATGAATTTCCGTGCATGCATCTCGTTACTTGCAGAAGCGTACAGGATACCTATCTCCTTGTATCTATGTTGGATGATATGCTTTGTAGACCTGCAAAGCTCCTTCGATGCTCTGTACAAGACCAAAGAATATCGTCAAACATAGTACTGTGACAGCGATCCAGAAGGTGTACCACTGAGACCTGTTTCTTCGGTCATACCAAAACTGGGAAATTGAAGTTGGCTTCGGTTGATCGAACTTTTCCTTCAAGCTAAGCAATTCATCACGCCAATAGTGGAAGCTTACGGCCCGACGGTCAGCGGAGGGTACACGGTCTCTCTTGATTAGAGAAGTGTCTGGACGCGTTATATCGGCGTCTTGGGACTGTTGAGAAGCTATCCATCTTTTTGTGTCGACATCACCTCTCGGGAACAACAGATCTAATGTGCGTAGCGTTTCTTTGATGAAATTGGGCGGGAATAGATTACTATGTTGATCAGCCAGTGATTCCTTATAGTTACTGAAGGCTCGTACCTGTTTTGACGTTGAAGAAAGGTTGCGTGATGAAAGATGCAGAGTGTCCGATCGTTGTCGACCAGCCGTAAGTGATTGGCGAGGTTATTCGTCCATTGTATGTCAAGACCAGCAAGGCGCTGCAGATTGAAAGCAGAAAACTCATCTTCGAATATGAGACTACCAGTATCCTTGGTGCTGACGACAAAATGGTTGGCCAAAACAGCGCTGAGGTCTAGCTGTTCGTCTGTCCATGGAAGGGAAGGAGGACTCCACGTCCAGTTATTAGAAGTGGGCCCCACATCAACCATCGAGAACAAACGCACTGCAAGCCTAACGGAACCTTCTGCCATGCGATCTTTGACCTCCTCGGTTCTGTTCCGCGTATCAAGCAGTGTAAGGGAGCGTTTGATCGTGTCTTTTGTGAGACCTTCCTTGAATTGCCGCGAAATCGTGACTACATCTTCGTGCGTTCGGACAGTCACATGCTGGCCATGATCTGTCTCCACTGCTTTCCTGCATTCAGTCGTGTAATATTCAAAGTACGTGTTCCAGAGTTCAACCTCTCTCGCCGTCAACGGCGATATCGTGTCGCAAGGCCAGAGAGCCTGTATGATACTACGCTTGCACTGCATAGGTAAAGGATCCTCGTTGGCATTTCTTGAAAGAGGCATAGTAATTCATATATCTCTGCGTACATTAGCTGCGTCCTAATGCGCATTAGAACATACCAAGTCGACAGGCGCAGTTCAGTATATGCCTTGCTTTCCAGAGCTCACCCCATTCTGCGGCTTTTTCTGCCAGTGACGGGGCCGTTCTTATGGTCTTAATAAATCTGGTCTCGGTAGGAGATGCGCGATGACCTCGTGGCGTTTTAGGGGGCTGAGCACTCACCGGATGGTGCGGGGTCATTGAATCTTGGAACCTTGCCGCTGGATGCGACTTTTTCACATTACCTAGGTACTGCGATCATCGAGGAAATATCATTACAACGAAGAACAACGACGAGTGCAAAGCACGCATGCGTCATTCCCGGGAAGTATTGACGTACCATATCAACATGCTCATCCGGGAACGCAAAGTGCGCCCATTTTCGTAATGCAGGAGGCTGTCACGTCAAGAACCAAGCCCAGCTTGATGAAGCTTGTGGCAAAAAAGGTGAAAGAGAAGGAGAGTCTGGGCCTTTATGAGAGCTCCGTCGACATCGAAAATGCAGTTAACATCGATTACGGGGCTAACCCTCACTGGAAGAGAGGTCATCGATGCTGGGAAGCTAAGGGCGAGGCCGCTCAACAGTACAAAAGCATGGAATCATCCCTTCTGAATGAGCTCAATCAATCAAGAAAGGAATCATTCTGTGAAGTCTGCATATCGCTCTTCATGATAGGAAAGTCCCCACGGCATGCAAAGCCCATCATCCTGATATCCAGCGAAGATAAACGATCGAGACAGGAAGCTAAAGCTGCTCTTGACAGTAGCGGAATTTTGGAAGACACAGGGTTCAAGATAGGAGTTCTCAAATACCTTCCATCTGGTCCAATTCACCCTGTCGCAAGCATACGCGATGGGTCGCTTGATGGTACCGCACTCTACCGGTCTCCCAGCTCATCTTCCAGCTCAGAACCCACACCAAGCGCATTATCGTCCAACTTTGCCTACTACAACCTGAACAGAGATCTACAAGCGATCGGAATGCCAATCTACGTTAAGACTGATGAAAATGTAGTACGGATGGCCACAGCCAATCTTCTATACAATGGCAAGGGTTACGGATATATGACTGCCGCTCATATCTTTGACGGATGGACAAAGGCTTCCTCCAACAAGGATGACGGAGAAGGGGACCTTGTAGATGGTATACCATTCGATAGCGATAGCGATACCGACGGCGACTTCTACGACGAAGAGTATATACCGACTCCACAGAACCTACGCTCTACCAAGGCGGTATCGAGTAAACCCCAAGCATCGCGAGTACATGGTACATGGTTGGGAAAGTCACAGGGAGCTTCTAGTGAGACCTTTCTTGTCGACGACGAGGCGCGATCTGAATTGGTAGTTCTTGGACGGGTCTCGACTAGCCAGAAAGACTTGGACTTTGCCATCATCACCGTCAACGATTCGAAGCTGGAGAAACAGCTTGACAATCTTACCAGCTCTGGAGACAGACAACACGATCGCTTGAGTGCAACAAAACCTTTCCCATCGAAAGTCACAGCATTCACAACTCATGGACCCGTTGACGGTGCAAGTTTCCATGTGCCTACGCTCATTCGCCTACCAGGCAGTGACAGATATCGATCTTTATATGGATTTACATATGAAGGTTCAATAGAAGTCGGAGATTGCGGATCGCTGGTGTTTAGCAAGGACAGCAGATCATTGTATGGAATGATTATTGCTGCCTCCGATAAAGAGCCTATCGCTTACGTGGTAGCGGGTGATCAAATCGTGCAAAGTATCGCAGAAGTGGGGCAATGGCGTATGTTACACATGGATAGGGATCCGAACAACTCATCCAAAAGTTCTGACACGACGAGAGCCGAGTCTTCAAAAGAGACGAAAGTAGCAAACCGTAGTACATACGGAGTACTATCGCCTCGCACTCTACTAGAAACCGCTGGGATAGCTGTCCCACAACAGAAGTCTAGCTCCACAACTACTCTACTAGATACCAGTGCAACAGCTGCCCCACAACCGAAATATACACCGACAGCTTCTCTGCAGCAGTCCACTACATCTACAACACGGGCGCATTACGGGCCTTGGACATGGTCAGCACCACACAACAGTCACTATTCATATTTATTAGCAGACGATGATTCTACAGTGTTAGATACTATTTGGTCAGGGCCTGCGACGGGTTCCACTACCTCGCAAATACCTGCAGCAGCGCAAAGTTACGACAGTAGAGTAAGATCAAGCGGACAACTACATCAATCGGTGGGGTCTGATTATGACACGATAACGGGTAGGATAGACAGCTACCAACCACAATATGGCTATGGGGCGTACGGTTCACTAAGTCCGCAGTCATATCCTTCTGCTCATGCCTCGATCACAACTGCTTCAGGAGGTTCACCATACCTACAACAGGTTTATCAAGCTCAACCTAGCTACCCTTACACGCTTTCTTCGCCGAGGCAATCACAGCAAACGGCGCCAAGTGGAGTGACAGGACAACCCTCTCAGTATCCAAATTCACGTCGATCAGTAACGTCTCTTCCTGTCGATGTGCAATCTACTATACAAAGCAAAGATCGAAGATATATCCAGACAAATCTTAATGAAAGCTATAATCACGAACAGCTTGACACAAGTAAGCGACGCCATGTTTTAGCAAATCAACACATGCTTACGTGTGCTAGGGTATCGGCGAGTTGCGCAGCCGTCGCGTGCGGCGTTCTTTGTCAGTGGCCGGGTAAGTACAACTCATTGACCGACACAACCATGCTGTTAACGAAGCGCTCTTAGGTCTTCAAGATGCTTTGGACAGAGCCTGCCGGCCAGATCAATCCTGGCAAGACTCGGAACTCAACACACTTCAGTACCGTACAATATGGGGAGACAGCTTTTAGTGAAATACGCCGATTCGTTGTCGTTCGCAACAAGGGTGACTTCAGCCAGTGCATGTACGTAGATCTCACAAGATGTTTTGCCTTAAACCAATCTGACAAGCTCATTAGCCCGATTCAAACTTACAGAGGTCGCGGCGCCGCAAAGCCAGGTCTGAGAATGAGCGATCACGGCATCATTCATACTACGACAACCACACCCAATCAGCTTCCAGGTGAGGCATTGACGAAATACTCAATTCAAGTACAATCGACCGAAGGTGAATACCTTGAGGTGGAAAGCCGTGTCAACTACGGTAAGGCATACGTTGTTGAGCACAATGTTAAAGTTCTCGATGTGGGAATGGTGGTAGAAGGTCATCGGTATCTACTCAAGGAATATTTTGACGCTGCGATGCAGGCACAATAACGGAACTGAGACTTATGCACTATGCGCAAACTCCTCGAACTTTCTCTTTGTCGCTCGGATCATCCTAAGCTATGTTACATGGTAGGGCTGCACCATACGCAGGCCGTTAAGATCACTGTCTGTCCTTCAATCTATCTGATCTGTCTGTACAGATCTAGATATGCATGCATTACTGTCTTTTTCATTTTTCAGAGTTTTTATATACTCTTGAGTAGTTGTTTCTATTGCCGCATCACAGGAGAATTCTTTTCCGAAGGCTCGTACGGGCACAGAATTGTACGGTCATTCGCTATTTGGCCTGCAAGTTGCATCGAGATCACACAGTAATGAAAAGAGCAAGCAGTGAGAGGGCAAAAGGATTGTCTAGCTCACGTTGAATGAATTGAAGTCGACGGACAGTTCCGCATCTATAGATCGGGGTCATTCAAGGACATGTGAGAAGGCCATCTAGAAGGGACATTGGCCTTGTACTGACAATATCTCCCATAAGGTGTTCTTAACAACAAGACCACCTTGATTTTGGTGCACCTTCATTCATCCTCCGAATGTCCTGGCTCCGATAGCTCTCAACCATGCTTTCTCATCTTCGTTGAGCCGTGCGTGCCGTCAAAGACACTCAGCACCATGCGGACAGAGCTCCAGACTGCCAAAGGCGGCTTTACAGAGGCCCAGATTGAAAACTTGTATGATACTGTAAGAAGTTGGGTCGATCTGCTCGGCGGATAAAGTACTAGCAGGTACGCAACGTGTTAGGTCCTTGAAAGGCTCTGGAACATTGCCTAGGTTAGGGTTTATGAATTGCTGGCAGGGATGCTGATACGCGTCCACGGTTACCGCTGCCTACCTGGGAGCTGGGAGATTGGCGGTGACGCAGGATTAATGATCTGGAAAATTCGTTTCTTTACAAACAATGCAATGGATCCTTCGATGTAGATTGTCAGACGTATGTGAAGTACGAGGAAATCATGAAGACGACGGATACACAGTTAACGAAAGATCGCATCGAGTGGTCAGCGAGAAATTCCAGAAATGAAGAGACCAAGTTCAAAGACGACATGCACGCCAAAGTGTGAAACTGATCAAGTGCTTGTGAAATATGAACCATAGACTACTCAATGAAACCTCGTTCGTAACCTTGCCAAGCCTGTCCTTACTGGTGCAAGTGTGCAATTGGACTCACCAGTTTGACACTTGATACTCACTTCATCCTTGATTGCATCTGACAACATGAAGAGTCTTGTCATTGTTGCTCACAACGCCCTCTGTGTTGACCGCACAGGTTGATCTACAACGTCGGCCAGAACGAATAGGCCAGCTGACGTTTGACGGAGAAGGAGACTAGTATAGACTAACAGTCCTCAACCAGTTCGTCCAAGCAGGACGTCGTGATCGCTCATCTTTTGGAGAACATAAGCGCTATGCCGAAATGCTGCACGCTAACAACGAGGTCAGATATCTTAGCACAGCGATCGACAAGGAGACTGCGATGTGAACCACCCCATTCACGTCAAGAACTTGCGCATGTTTTAGTTTTATCGTGAACACGAATACCAAGACCCGCGACCAACGCAATATCCACCAATCTAAGGTAGCGCAACTTAAGGATCATAACGTGGTCGCGTACTGGGCACCGTAATGGTCACCAATATTTCTAATTGGGGTCAAGCCAATCAGCATCAGGAAATGTGTTTTAGGTGGCGGATTGCCCCCTCAAGCGCAAGAGCCTCTCAGACAGCGTCCAAGGCAAGCCCGACGGCAGCGATGACAAGCGATCAGGCGACGCTATCACGTTAGCATTCGGCGACTTAGCAACGGGGCTGCGTCGGCCGGGTGCGAGCGCGGGACGCTCCTCCCGCGGTGAGTCTCGCGTGCGCGGCCGCTGCTCCACTGCGAAGATGCGACCCGATTCTCGGAACTTCACCGGAAAGCCTCAGGCAGTGAAGGACCTCCATAGTGCAGAAATATCTGCCCAAGATCTGCGTCTATCAATGACTTTGCTGCAACTTTATTTCGACGACATTCCTTCCTTAAAAGACGAACGTTGTCTAATTCCGAGCGTCGCAAATTAGCCGTTGAGTTCGGGCAAGGCATGTGAAAGTCCCGGTATGTCATCATCACCGCAAGCAGCCTTCCTGCAGCCAATTGAGTTTCCTTCGGTTAGCAGCCTCGTCGCCCTTCCATGCCTTGCTGGTCATCGCCATTTGCCTTGTCCGGCGGCGCGATGATAAGAAACTGCAAGGCATCTGTCATGCACTACAAGCTTTAGTTCCTAGGCAATAACACTGATACGCGCCCGACATCTGGACGTTTCGTGCGTATCATGTCCTCACGTGGGAAGTGCGGGGCGGGTGCATATACACACGCACAAGGCTGAACACGTATCATAGAATGCAGCTCTTCGATCGACTGGTATCGATGCCATGATGGTAGAAGTGATTCCAGCGGAGTCCGATACCAAGAAAGTGAGTCTGAGGTGCATGCGATCGCTTTTGATGATTGTTTACTTTCACTGGGCAGGCGCGCGGTGTCGCTAGACTCGCATTTATGTTACCGATGGTCTTGTTCAACACCGAATCCTCGTCCCACTAATGCTTCTCCAGAGTGACGGATGTGGCTACTTCAAGAAGTCCTGGTTCCACGTCCTCGGTCGACGCGTCAATTTGGGTGTGCCACACCCCTGTCAATAAGGGTGTGGATGAATACCCTGCAACCTCATGGCATACTACAGCCGGAGATTGGAAGCGCTCAGACAAGGTCTCAGACTGCGCCCTCTCGTCTGCTCATCTTTTCTAGCAGCATTGGTTCGATGGGAAATATGGCCATACAATAGTGTCCAAAGCGCCCAGTTGAATATCCCACCTGGATGGGCTTGCAATCTATGTTACGTGTGGAAGTTTGTACCGATGAAGGTATGGACAGAGTAGGCTTGAAAGGCGCTTGGCCGGATCGGGTGGTAGGAATGCGACACGGCATCGCGCAGAAAAGCAAGTGCAGCTGATCACTATATCGATCCCGTTGGCTACCCCAAGAATGGGGCGCAGGCTGCACAGGCTGCTACCTGGCTTTTGTTCGAATCCGTTGCGTCGTCCTCTCAATCTCATTCCAAGTCTGTCGCCAATATCGCTATGTGATTGGTTCTCCAGGAATAGCGCCTTTCTCAGCTGATTGTTGCTGGTTCTAGGATGTCAGACCAGCATATCGCATGCAACTTTGAGACGTGTGGAAGTGTATGTGCAAGCGATGTAGCGGGGCATAGTATGCATACTAGGAGTGGCTGGTCGAGACGTAAGGCAAAGTCATAGGGCTAACTCCTCCAAACCTACCGATGTTGTGTGCCTATTCCACTACAACACTTGCAAACCTGGTCCAATGCTTTTTCGATATCGCGTTGTTGACCCCGGTGCTTCTGATAACTGCAGCTAATGTAACGCCAATGCGTCTCTGTTACGACCATTCGCATGATTTTCCTAATTCAACAGGTTTCGAGCGCTGTCGAGGATCTGTTCAGCTCTGTCCAAGACAGCCAATCAGATGAAGACAGGTTATGCGAATAAAGTTTAGCCAACAGCCACTAAAGTGCTAAGACGACCGGAGTGTGAAACGTTTGTATTCGAACACGGTAGAGCCCTTGAATGGAATGTGTATCCAATGAACATTGTACATGGACCGTACATCGTCAAGGGTATGGATCAAATCAAATGAACCTGCTATCAGGTGAGGAAGAGGTACTCCAATCCCCATCTGTACCCCTTATCCAATGGAAACCACCTTTTGGTTTTTGTTATATACCAACAGGTAAATCTGGTCGTGTCTAAAGACCCTAGAACCATCGTGTTGTAACTCGGCACTCGCCACTCGGAAAGCGTTCCGTGGAATGGGCTGGCTAGGCGCTCTGTCAGGATAGTTGTTCTGTCAGGTTTGTACTTTGGTAGGGTGCCGATTTACCAGCTCAGAAGTCCGTATAGAAATCAACTGGGGTAGGAAGACCCATTCATTCCAAGCGTATGCGGAGAAATAGCAAAGGACAATGTAAAAGTATAAATCATGTTGCGTGTCGTTGAGTAATCTCACAGCCAGGAATCCCGAGCTTTGAGTGGAGAAAACTGTGGAGGAAGCAGTACTCCATAGTGTGACCTTGGCCTGGGTTGGATCCTGGGTCGTCAAACTCCATATGAACAAGTTCTCTTGTAATCAGGGAATGTGCGTATATAGGTCTCTAAGTACGGAAATGAATTCTCCCTTCCTGGGGGTAATCGACTCTCTACTGGAAAGCAAAAATGGATCCAAGTAGTGCCTGGAATGTGTAGTACAGTTCAACATCCTCAAACCCTTTGGTTCCATTCCAGGTACAGCACGCACACTGACTCCAGTTGTATGACGTCTCTGCCGTTGGTCTCCATGCAGGTCTGTCTGGGGAGATCGACAAACAATGCTGTGTGAATTCACGGATTTTCTGCTTGTGTGCCTATCAAGCGGTTTCCGGTTAGGGCTAGGTGATTGGGTAGTCTCAAAGTCAGTCGACCCAGTTTGGCTGCGTCTCAATTTGGGCGTTACATCACCTGTAGGCTTGGACGCTCGACGAGGAACGGCCTGAGGGTATGCTGAGTTATCAGAAGCCCACTCTCCCTCTGATATACTCCTCTTCGAACTTGGTTTCCTTGGAAGAAGCTTTTGCTCATTGACAATGCTGTAGTGGATATCTTCCAACTCAGATACCATGCTGCGACCGCTAGCGCTGTTCTCCAAAGCTGTCGAGTGGTCCATATAGAATTGTGCGCCGGTGAAGCTTATCAGGTCGCAAGTTTGTCCAACCCCCTCCCACCAAGAAGTTTCGTATAGCTTAGTCGATGGAGGTTGGTATGGTAAATGCGCCTTTTGTAGAGGAGACACAGAAATCATATCGAGCTGCCACACATGGATTCTCGGATGAACTGTTAACCGTGATCGCTTTCCAAACCGTGAAGCATTCTGTACATTGACTTTGTCCTGCGCCGGCGCAGATTGTCTTTGAGTGCTTGTAGCAGAGGTGGCTGAATCTGTCAATAGTGTGGATCCATTCGACGCTGCAACAGACGTATATGTTGTCGTCGGTGTTTGTGTTACTGGATTTGCATAGTCGTCTTCGGTTCTTGCAGCGAGGACCGTCCAGTCATCCAGGTTTTCGGAAGTGAGCTCGGCTGCGCCACTGGTCTGTGACTCCAAAACATCTGGGCTACTTGTAGGAAGTGGGCGAGGGAGATCATCCAGCAAATCATTGACAAACATCGATAATCTCTGGATGAACTTGACTTCCTGGTCGTTATACTGCTGTTCGGCATCATCGTATTCTGCTTCGCGTAGGCCAAGCTGGTCTCTCAAAGTGTTAATTTGCTCGAACTCTTCTTGTATGGCCTGAGGCAACGTGATGCCCTCCTTCTTTAAGAATCTTTGCAATTGGCTGAGAGCGGATCCCATTGTTTCGTCAGTCTTCTCCCGGATAAGGTGAGAAGCCTTTCTCCTGTCCCGCTGTAGCCGAAACCGAGTACCTGTCAAATCTTCTTTCTCGTCTTGCAGTTCCTCAAAGCGCGTTTCCATTTCTTCGAGCTTGCGATTTGGAACTGGCGGGAAAGCGTGATGGAAGCTATGTGGTTCATCACCTGATGTTGGTTTATAGGGTATGAATGGTGGAGGTGGTGGGGGAGGCAGTAGACGAACTTCAGGAGCTACATCTACAGGGCGCAATCGTGGTTCTACATCGAAGCTAGGGAGCTTAGATAGGTTGTTCTTGCGCTGGTTGTTTGCCGTTCGATGTGAGAGCGTTGCCACTGTCGTACTTGACCGTGCAAGTGAATTGCGGAGCCCTGGAAAGACTCTCCACACGTATAGCACTCCATCCTGAACCCGTTTCGCTGCTCAAACGTCAGTGTCTTGCATTCAAGATAAGCCTTTGCTTCCTTTCCCACCGATCTCTTTGCTCGCTCTCAGCCCAGTAGATGCCTGCTCTGCTCCGAAGGCTTCTGTTCGTCGAGAAGGCATTTGGATGCACAACTCATGTTTTGAGGTGGAACTGGGATGCCGTGCAATGCATGCCTTCGGAGGAAAGAGCTTAGGGGGCGACCGAGCCGCATAATAGCAAATTATGGCACAGGGCGGCGAGACATGCAATCGGGCAAGCCCCAGATCGATAATACCCCTAGGTCATGGCGCCACTAATTCTGCTATAAGCCACCGAGCAGCCCATTACCCGCTGGTGACCATGCGCGGAAACGGCGGCGTCAAGGATTACGCGTCGAGCCAATGATCAATCAGGCTAGGTGAACCGCCCGCAGCTCTGGACGGTCCCATGCGGGCCCCGCTATCAATCGATGCCCACCATCACGCATCATACATCAACACGTAGATGCGTGACAGCATGCTGCATCGGCAACATGGCTGATAGTATAGGCACACTCCGCGCTCTAAACAGTTAATATGCGATGCGGCTCTGCTCGCCAGCGATTCGTCATTTGCGCATAAGTATTCGCTAGATGGCATGTCAGCACGCTGTGTCGCAACAGGTCCACGGATATTATGCTGTACCCGCCTCAGACATGTCGCAAACACCGCAACCAGAGTGGAACGTGAAATATGCAAGGTATCTGCGCAAACAATGGGATGAGGGGCATCAGCGTTATTACTGGTTGCATTTCGTAGACGGTATTATTTCCGGACGCCTGTTATCATCCAACACCTTGCTAAAACAGTACAGGACAGGGCTGGGTTTTCTTCGATTGGGACCCACTGGAGCGTAATCGCGTGGATTCGGTATCTAATGGTGCGGCTCAAGCAGGCTCAGCTTTCCAGAGAGGCACAGGTCAAGCTATACAAGGCACTTACAATCACTCCCAACCAACACCGAACAGCCATTATGAGCATCTGGATTCATGCAGGTGTACCTGATCATTTTATCGCACACCTGGTTAACCTTTTGCAGCTTTCTTTGTGAGGGATAGAAGCTTTTTTCAGCCTGGAAAGGTATGTCTTCCACAGCCTTGCATTTGAGCTGACACTAATGATATGCAGGTCTTCTCTGTTCTCTTCAGCGAAGGGGCTGGAACGACTGTAACAAGATACAATGACTCTATCTCCCTAGTCAAGTACGGAGAGTATGTGCATAGTCAGATACGGCGCTTCATCGTCGTTAGGACGAGGCAAGGGTTTGCCTACTCCGTGTAAGTAACACAACCAAAGAATCTAAGACACATTACTAATACTGTATAGCCCTATCTTTACCTATAATAATCAAGGGACCAAGAAGCCTGGCGTTGTACCCAGTGAGCATGCTATAGCGTTCTCGTACGGGTACCAACCCCTGCTCCTACCCGGCGAAGCAGAGCTTGAGAAGGAACCTATCTGCATAGTCATGAGCCAGCAGGATCAAGTCCTTTCTACCGCTTCTCGGATCTTTTTTGGAATACAACATCCCATACAATATAACGTGAAAGTAAAGGATCTAGGCTACGTTCACCCCGACTACCTCGCCAACTTCCTCGGCTACTGGGCGATGGAGCACCAGATCGGTACTATGCAGGATGTGCAAGACATAGGCGGCGGCAACGATAACGACAACGACGATTCCAATACACCCACGCCAGGCAACTCTTACCCAGTCTTTTACAACACATGATATCCTCCAGATCCTTGCTTCTCTATTTTTCCTCCCAATACGTTACGGCCGCTTTGCATATTACGCTATTTCTTTGAGTATATCCTATCACGATGCTGCTGAGATTGTTTTCATCTCATTTCCTGTCACGCGCAATCAAATTGTATGTAATCAGAAATCACGTTCACCTCGCCACTTGTCGATTTGTGAGTGCAACGCAACCTCTCAATGTCTAAACTTTGAAGTTTAATCCTAGATGACCAGAGCCGCTTCTCATGAGTGTGCGCAGTACAGAGCAACCGCGTTCTGGAAGTAGTCCTCCACCAAAGGCAACGTGCTGCTGACAACGACGCCCCCTTCTTAGGTGGATCAGAGCAAAGGGTGAACTAGTGGTGTTGCGGTAGTGCAGCTGCTTGGCTTATTGATGAGATCGCACGCAGAATCATCTCGGAGAAGACAAGCTTCCAAGGTTCTTTCTTTGATCCAATATTGCGTTCAGGCGCTCAGCTATGAAGTACAGCTTTCTACGGAGCTAGGAAGTTTCGGTACAGATATTCTATGTGCGCTCTCTCCAGCGGCTGAGTTCTCATACTAAGGTACTAGAGACCGAGGCATGAAGACTCACGGATGAGCGCCAATCATAACATGACCGAGAAGCGCCACTATATGCACCGCCAGCTCTCACCGGTGTTTCGCCCCGCTTTGAACTCAGCCTACCTCCATAACTCCCGCACCTTCCGCGTTGAACACATTTTTTAATTCAATCACAAAGCCAGAACACGCATACGGTCGCTTTTCGTGTGACATAACGAGCTACAAACCATGGTAAGTTGTCGTAGGAACGAACTTGCGCGGTAACGAACCTTATGGTAAGTACCTTTCCCCAACTTATCAGGAAAGAGCTATGTAGCCCGCCGCATCAACGTTATGTCGTTTCAACACTGACTTCAAAGCTATGCTGTAGTTCGGATTTTCACCATTTCTATGATGGAGGTGGAGTATGATGTTTTTGCCGGTACCGCAATATCCTCAGAACCCCTCAACACTTGTTCGAGCGATGATATGCTCATCGAGCAGGATGGTGACTACATAATTAGCGACGAGAAGCATCTTCCATTTGAGCACAAAAAGGTGCTAGGCAAAGGTTGGAGTGCGGTCGTAGAAAAGGTGCAAGACAAAAGAACAAAAGAGACATATGCGAAGAAAGTCATCAATTTCCCTCGTCTCAAGGCTAAAAATCGAGAAAAATCTGAACAGCTATATCGCAACGAGGTTGCAATCATTCGGAATCTGCAGTTCCATCGCCATGTCATCGAGCTGTTTGCGACATACACAGCGCCCCGCTCAGGCGGCTTAATCCTGCGCCCTGCTGCAGACCAAGGAGATTTGCAGAGTTTTCTTGATCAGTACGCCGATGCAGCCGAAGGTTCTGCAACAGACAACGATGATCTAAAGGGGATGAATGAAACTCTTGAAAGAGCATTTGGGTGTTTATCGAGTGGATTATCGTACATGCATAAAAAGGGTATTCGACACAAAGACATAAAACCAGTGAACATATTGATTCACCAAGGTGTCGTTATTTACACGGACTTTGGCGCTTCTAAAGATACCAAAGCGGATGGACAGTGTACCACAGAGGGCAGGCCCGAGTCTTTGACACGGAGGTATTGTGCCCCTGAGGTGCTTGAACACGACAAGAGGAATTTCGCCGCAGATATCTTCTCATTGGGTTGTGTATTTGTGGAAATTTTGTTGCGGTTAAGCGGCTTGACGGAGTATGATGATCTCGAAGAGGATGGCTATTCTGGTGTTATGGATGTACTCCATGAATTGCTCCGATCCGCAAAAGTTCAGCCCAAGCTTTCATTCCTCCTGGACATAGTCATACCAATGACTGCAAGGGAGCCTTTGGGGCGTCCGGCGTCTGAAGAAGTCGTTGCGAGTATTTGCTACCACGCAGGCTTCTCTTGCTCGCATTGCGCCCGCGTGCGCCCTGAAGAACATGCGATACATGCACAACAACCAACCTGGAACGCTGAATACCAAAGATATTTCTATACATGGTGGGATGGGTCAAACAAACTTTGGTATCGGACTCATTATGTAGAAGGTTAGTGCGCCTCCACCAGCATGTACATCAGCTCATCATCATTTAGGACAGGGTTGGGTATTCTTCGACTGGCTGCCCGAACAACCGCTGTCTCCCGATACTCGTGCCCGCAACGACTCTGGTTACATCGGCGCGCATTCAGCAGGGTCAGCCAATTTATTCAGTAGAGAGGGAAAAACAGTTATGGGTTCCTACAATACGAGCAATCCCATGTCTCACGAACCACTGGATACAAGTAAATATAGTACTTGCATCATTGAAATGCGAACACTGACGAGTGAAAAGGCTTCCAGGTCAGGCACCGCGATTACTTCATCGAAGGAAGAGTGAGTATATCTAAGCCAGACTATGAATCTTGTACTGACTGTTGCTCAAGATGTTCGCAATTCTTTTCGCCGAAGCAGCTGGCTCAAATGCTGTGACTGACTACAATACCGACCTGTCCCTTCTCACCCGAGTAAAACACGGCGAATTAGTACGCGCTCAAGTAAGACGATTCATCGTCGTGAAACGCAAAAGAGAATTCTGTTATGCTGTGTAAGTATCGAAATTGTTCTCGTCTATACACTGGCTAACTTTCGTAGTCCGGTTTTCACCTATGGCAATCGCGCCACTACAAAGCCAGGTGTGAGGCCAGACGAACATGCAATCGCTTACTCGTACGGCTATAATCCATGTTTAGTTCCTGGGGAGATAGAACTCCAGAAATATCCTATCGCGATTGTTAACAATAGTGAAAAGCCGTTATCAGTAGCTTCTAGGATTTACTTTGGCATCCATCATCCTATTCAGTATAATGTCAAAGCCAAAGATTTGGGCTACGTACACCCGGACTTCATGGCTACATTCTCCGGATACTGGAAGATGGAGAGTGGGCATGCCCCTGAACAAGGTCTCGAGGTGACCTATGATCCGACCAATCACGATACCAACTAAGACATGATACGCAATAAAGCAGCAGTCCAGACTGAATACTCGAAATCTTCTTTCATTTTGCAATCGTATGTCCCAACTTCATCATTGTGTTTGCATAGATGCTACCAAATCTATCCAAAGAAAACTCAAGTTCCTCCGTGCTGCAGACCACGACTGGGCTGATGACGATCAAGTATGAACCTCTCATTCATACGCCAGATTAAGTCCATCGAACAAGCAAACAGCCTGTCTTCAAATAGAGTCCCAGAAGGATTAAATCCATCATGCCCAGCTTGGACCTCCAGGGCGCGCTGCGCCTCTGGTAGGCTGCGAACCCAGTCAGCAAACAGCGTGAATTCACCAACACGACTCCGTACAGTTCGTTTGTTGTTGATCATATCCACCACTGGATCATACCAAGCGTTATGAACGCCCAGATCATTCACCTGAAAATACTTCTTGTTGAACAACCGTAGGGTATAAGCGTCCGACTGGAGTTTACTGATGTACTGTTTGAACGTCTCAAACTCCGTTATCAGAGCATCGGTCGGAGGAGCCAAGTCATGCCAAAACGCAACCATGAGCTCGCCCGCCGTAGCAGCCGATGGAACATGCTGCACTTTTATGCGAAGTTCTATGAGACGCGTTACCATGTCCTTGAGAGGAGCAAAGATATCTTCGTAGCTGTCAATAAGAAAAGCCTTTTCGAGGTTGGCGTAAAGAATTGCCCACTCGGTGTTCCGTTCGCATGCAAGGCGACATGCGCGTTCAGTTTTGTGAAAAACGATACCTGCCTCTCTATACCGGCCTTCAAGATTGTTGCAACTCCGTAAGAGATGATCGATACGGTCCAAAACCTCCCGGATGCGGACGCGAAAGGTTATTGAGCATGACTCCTCTGAACCCGGATCTATAGTCGTACATTGCCGACACATGATGGTAGTTTCCAGTCAATTCCTCGTTACAATACGGATCGGGTCGAAGACCTTATTGGGTGTTTTCGGTTGCGCAGTTCTAGGAACAACGAAGAGAGATTGCGCATCAACGCGACTTATGATCTTGCGACAACGAGCGTTATGCAAATTCATCAACAACAATGTGCACGTCATTGACACTGTGTACTTGCTTGCCTTGTTCATCGCCTAATGTCCCTCTAAATTTATCGCAAATGTCGATCGCAGGCTGGAGATAGTAAACTTTATAGGACTAGGAACGCAGACATGATATGAATTTAATAGCAACTCACACAGTCTTGTGGGCTGAATGAGTTGCTGTATCATTAGTCCTTCCTCCAAACTCACGCTGTAGTGCTGAGCGCTAGACTCACATCGCTTCCGCCAACGCATTCGAGTATCTATACTCCACAATATTCTCATCTCCGGAAACAGCATCAACGAAACCTTCCGTGAATTCAGACTGAGATTGTACCGTGCCCAACTCAATCTCTGGGAAGGTTTGTATCCATCTCCGAAACAAGCCTCCTTCACGGCTATGCTTGGCGGCCAGATTGTCGCTTCCATCAATGTCGGAGCGACCAACACTTCCTTGGCAGCATTGGAAATTTCAATCCACGGGCGGAAGAATGATTGCTGAGCACGTGGACGATCGGTCTCGAAGATTTGACTCAGACGTACTAAGATGACAGGGTTTATTCGGTAGCTATTAGTAACAGTTGAGGCATGTCGCAGCGCATACGGAATCTTGTGATACGCAACCCCAGCAATTCTAAAGCGGCGCTCAAACTTGGTGAGCTTGTCGAGCCAGGAGAATGCTTTCGACTCTGACCAATCTAGCCAGTCTTTATACACTGTGACTGCAATCAGGCAAGCTGTGTTCGCGTCCTCAAAGTGCCAGTCGTAGGGCAGACGCTCGACCCACAATTCCATGCGGCTTCTCTGTCCCGGCGACAAGAGTTGGCCGTATGCCTGTCTGGATGTAATAATCGTGGCGTACTTGTTCGCAACCCTGACGCGACCCAGTTCATCAATCTCTGGCTCCGGTTGATCTCTTGCCACATCTTCAGGTGTCTGTGGTCCTTCAGCTCCGGATGATGCTGAGCTCATGATGCGGTCGAAGTATATGCGTCCTCGTTAGGGTCGCAATTCCAACGTGTTCGCGGAGGTTGGAAGGGCGGAAATCGGGAAGATGACCAGTCGGGGCGTGTAGGTGCAGCAAAAGAGTATCAGAGAGTCGTTTGTTGTCGTGATGGGAGACCATCTGACCGTTCGCGTGTTGTGGTGTGTGCGTGACGCATCTGTAGTGAATGCGACCCTACTCATGGTGCTTTGTCGCAAGGACGATGTGGGATGAGACGTACTCTATCGGGTCAACCACGGGTGTATTCTATACTGTCAGTGCTTCTGAAAGGTATTAAATATCCATAACGTCAACTGTTCGAGCTAGAGAATGTCTTCTACTAGACCGATTGGAGCAGCGCCCCCATAGTTGATGGTGAACGCAGCAAGCCGGCCAAGAAAGGTACATCCGAGCAAGAACAATACTTGTTGTAGGAAATCGATGAAGGAGACAAGAAATAAGGTGCAAATGGTAGCCTTCTTGGATGGATACTTGTCAAACGCGCCCGCACGGCCTTTGATGCTCAACCTGGTCTCTTCACAAGGAGGACTCTCCCATCATACAGTGATCAAACCGGGAACTCAGAGCATCAGCTTTGATTCTGTTCATAGTACTTTGATGATAGAGTGGCTTGGGGCGGTTCTCATTGATGTGCTATTGCAAGTTGAAGGTCTTCAGTCATAAAACCCAATATTCGGTGAAGAGAAGAAATATTGGTTCAGGTTGTAGAGTAAGGAACGGGACGAATTGGAGCTAAAAACGTGTAATTGTAAAAACCCAAGCAGTCAAGGCCTAGAGGTACGAAAGTCGAAGTCTGCGGCTGGAAAGATGTGTTTTGTCGACACGACGCGTAGGCTGTCTGGCGATCTTGGTGACGTCATTTCCCGCTCGAACTTGGCGTTCATTAGTCCAAGGTAACTGGTATTCGAGAAATCCGATATGAAACGATTACTTCTATCTGGCCTGTCGCGCATTTACGCTATGTGCGTAGGTGAAGAACTAGCCAGCTGGCAGGACTAACTTGCCCCTAAAATGACCAGACCAGTGACGTAAGCGCTAGCCACTTGTTGGCATGTGACAGGCACGGCAGACCTCGGGACGTGCACACTACCTAGTGATCACTAAAAGCAACGACTCATGAAAAGAAATATCAGAGCAAGTATGCAAAATCCATTAATCATCAAATATATACCAGAAGCCAACTATATACCCTCCCTTCATCTCTCAAATCCCCACGTCATCCAAAGTCTATGAACAAGCATATACAGAAGCATAGAGAATATGTACTCATGACATCGTAAATACATCACCAATCCATCACACTTCGAACCAAAGATGTGCGCTCACTGGCCACCGACAGCGATAGTGAACAGTTTCGGGCTGCCGTCGAAGATTGTGCCAGCAACATCCTGACCACCATCCGGAACAACGTCATCGTATGGGAAAGCATAGCCACGACCATCCTTCTGGACCTGGTGAACGATGCGCGAGTAGTGGTTAGTTGTCGGATCCTTGTAGTACTGGCCTGGGTTGCTGCCATTCGGAAACTGGTCACCGGGTGTATTCAGCAAGATGCTACGGTTGAATGCAGCAGCGAGGCGAGGAATAACTGCATTGCGCGCTTGGTTCGATCCAGTCGCGAATGGCCCAGTGCTACAGGTAAAGATGTCCCTAGCTGAAGGAGCAGCAAAGTTTCCTGCTTGGCCAAGTTGGAGCTCATTGCCTTGGATACGGCCCTTGAGGTTGCCAGCTGCCGCTTGGGTGTTGATGATCATGTCTTCATTACGGTACTTGTTCCATACCGCCTGGATGTAGCCGTCCCAGTAGTTACCCCATGCATCGGCGTTTCCGACGAGAAGGTTGTTCGGACTCAGCACTCGCAATGGCTGTCCGTTGTGCTCATAGATCAGTTTATCCCAAGGTCGACCGTCGCGCTTGGCTTGCGCACGCAACTCTTCAATGACTCTCCGCATTCCATCAGCACCCATGCCTGGCACTGTTTGGGTCTTGCCTTGGGTGTTGGTCAAGCTAAGCCCAACAGGAATGCTGACAAAGTCGACATAGCTGATATTCGCGAACAGTTGCGCGTCGTTGTAAGTGAACTCGCAGAAAGACCAGTTGATATTGAAGTTAGGGTCGCTGGGGTTGGTGACACTGGGCTCTACAACTGCAGGACCTGGGTTGAGGAGGAAAGTAAGCTTTGCACCAATGCTGAACCAGATACGACCGCCGGCAATCTTTGGGATCCTGACGTTGACAGTGTTGCCAGGAGCCCCAAGTGGAATAGCGACGTCGGCCTGGAGTGGTTGCTGGATATCCTTGGGCGCTGTTGGATAGTAGATGGACTGGCCGTCTGCTTTCACAAAGAGGGGGGTGTTGTTCCGTTCCAGAGCAAGGCCGGTAATGTACGCGTATACGGTGCTGGAATTGGACTTGTTCTGCAGCGCCAACTGAAGAGTGCCAGGTGCGGCTTCAGCCATTACTTGTTGCTGTTCAGCGTTGGCTTCCGGAGCGGCTGCGCGCTTCTCATTCTCGGTGTTGGCGTTGGCATTGGCAGGTGCCGGTGCCGGTGCCGGATCATTCTCTTTTTTGCCGCGGTTTTGGAAACTCTGCCGACGCTTGTTGACGAAGCTCTTGAAGGCTTTCATGGTAATATGCGAATCGAGTGGGTGTGGAAGATGAAAATCTTGTGTAGATGGATGCAAGTATAGTGATTTGCAAGAAAAAGGCAAAGGGTCTTGCGAGTATTAACACTCTTGCAAATTGCAACAACTGCGAGTACGTCACACAAGATATATCTTCGACCTGTTATAGCGAATACACCCCAAACGCGTCAACGTCCTAAATTTCAAGGCGTGAATGCAGGGTCCAGCTGATGTCACACATGCGACGAATTTCCGGGCTGGCCCCTGCACGTGCAAACCGGTTAGCGATCGCCGACTCGCCCAGCAGTGCAAGCGTCAACAATTTTACGTTTACAGCCAATCACATTTTTCCAAGCGACACCACCATCTCGCGGCCCGTAAAGGACTAGCACAAGTTTCCAAACCACGCGTGGCGTGCTCGTGGCATCTGAAACTGACACCTGGATTGCGGGGTGCAGTGTAGGTGGTAACTTGGGACTGGTATTGGACGGCGCCGGGTTGGCGGATTAGTGTCAGAAAGGAAGGTATGAATTAGCGGTAAGCGGAAGTACGCGATGCTTTGTTTCTGTGTCTGGCGAAGAAAATTGTCACTTGTTCGTTTCATCTCTTTCCAGGTATATTCGGCACTGAAACGTACCTAAAGAGGTTGAGCGTGGTTGAAGCCGATTTGCTCTGGACGAGATATGAGCATGAATACACTTCCGGCGTTAATGGCTGCAATACAGCGGACAAAAGATACATCTCTTTTGTACAAAGAACGCAGGATCAGCAATCGCGCTACACATCCTTGGAACGAGGCCTCGAGACGTGCCCACGAGCTCGTCGGTAGACGATCTGCGATGCCAGTGTTGCATCCGCGAGAGCCAACGTCTCGCATAGCTTCAAGGTGCTGTAGCTATTTGCGCATGACTGCTTGTGCCACACTGTCGATGATTCAAGCCCGAGGATCAGAACTGAGCACCACCTCCAAACGACATGCCAGCATAGCTGTTGTAGCTGTCCTCCCCCCAGATGCTCCCTGCCATATCGAAGAACTGCCCCATGTCGAAATCGGCACTTCTCATAAGCGCAAAAGGGTCGCCGTTGGCCTCAGTCTCGGGAGGCATTTCCATGTTGAACTCATCCATATAGTTGGTGTCAGCTAAGTGGTTGTATCGGTCGCTCGCATGGTGGGTTGGATGCACTCTTGGTGCGCCAGTGATAGGGCATGAGCCTTCGCTGACACTGTGCTCAGTCGAGTCGCCTGTTGTAGGTATTGATGGTGTCTGGCTAGGTCGCTCCGGTCGGATCTTGCGAATGTACCAATTCTTCGTCAGATCATTGATCATTTGCATAGCGTGCCAGAAGTCAGTCTCAGGCCGCTTTGTCTTATCAAAGGCCGTTAAGGTTGACATTCGATAGCAGATTGACTCAAGGCAGAGATCTAGGCGGACCCTGTCTTGCGCGGCTTGAGTGTCCCATCCGATGGTGGCATGTTGTTCAGAGGGGATGCATAGTCTGGCGACCGTCATAATGACCGCGGGCAAACGCATCCATTCCGAGAACGATATCAGGTGATACTCTTGAGCTGGAAACGAAAGGAGTGTATCCAAGAATCGTTTACCGGCCTCAAGTGACGAGAGCAAGCTGTTGATCTGCGATGAACGTACCGACGCCGGTAACTCTGAGGGCGACGAGCGAAGGGCTACGCTATGCAGTTGCATCTTAGCGTACGAGAATGAAAGTTCGAGTAGTCTTTGTGATGCAACACCATCGCACTCTCTTTTCCATGTATCGAGTTGTGCATCTATAAATCGAACATGCATCAATGCTCGCCCATCGGAAATTGGGAGCTGCGAACCATCGGCCGTGAAGAGCGCATCTTGTACTTGGTCATCGATCTGCCGTAAAGATATGAGTAGATTGATAGTCTCGTCCGTCTCGTACTCTCGATTCTGTTTCAAGCTTTGCGCCCATTCTGACATGATAGAGTTATGTTTTAACAGGTTTGGCTTCTGTAAGCCTGTAGCGACCCTGCTTCAAGTCAACATAGGATCAAAGAAGGTATCACTGCGGCTACGTACATAGAAGAAAGGTAATAGCAACCCAGAAAAGCACGATGTCTCTCGCGCAACTCTCCAGGTGGTGGCGGTGGAGCTTTAGGCCGCTGCGGCATTGGAAAGCCAATGGGTTGGAAGTCTTGATGCAGACCAATATCGAGCGCCAGTCCTGTGACGAGGTTGTGTAAGAAGAATATCTGCTGTGTTTTGTGGCTAAAAACGAAGTGATACCTAGACCGATTAGCATCTTATGACGGAGTGTGAGCACTGGCATACCATGACAAGTAGACCAATACACTTTGAACTAGGCCCAGTGTCCTGCGGGGTTGGATAATCGTTCGATGAGCAAGTTCTGTGCGAAAGACACCATCAAGCTGCATCTGGCGTGTGTGTTCTTTCCATGATGATACCAGAATGACAGCCAGTAAGAGCATAGGTCTGTGCTCGTGCAACTGTTTAGCAGTGATCTGCGGAGGTAGCATTACGAAAGGGAACGTTGCCGATATGTTACGATACTCGTTCAACAGTACGTCAGCTTCACCTGAACATAGCATTTGTTGAACAATTTCGTGTTCAATGGGTGCTTCGGGGCGTCTTGACGGCCTAAAAAAGCCCTCAGGAGCCGGAGGAGCATCTTCACGATCACTGTATCTGTGTATGCTGCGAAGACTTTCGAGGTACTGTCGATCGACTTCAGCACTTTCTGACGCGGCCTCGGTGCTGTTCTCATGTTGCAAGGTGTTGGTCTCGAAAGATGGTGTCGGTATCCAGCTTCCGGGTGTAACGTTGATTACTCCCCGTTTCTGCCACGTCTCTGCTCTGGTTTCTCTAGGAGTCGGCTGTGATGCACTCGCAGAATCGGTCGTGAGTTCAGTCTCAGCAGCCGCGTGGACGAGTTTAGCAACGAGCCCATCGATCTTTTGTTCGACCTGCGCGATTCGGCTACCAACATTATAAGTCAAAAAGACCAATTAGGCATAGACAACGACTTACGAGGGTGCCCGCAGCTTCCTTGTCCTTCGTGGCGCTTCGGCCCAAGTACACTCTTTGCCGGCAGAAAAGCATCTTGTGGGTGGTTAGCACTTTCAGAATAGCCAGATTGGTATCATGTGGAGCGACGGCTGGGAGCACCATTGGGCTACCACGACGCTGATTGGATGGAGCACACCTTTGGCATAGTCCAATTTGGGCGCTTGGCAAACATCGCGTCTTTAGATTACGACATCGCTGACACGCTTGAGTAGTTCGCGATGTACCCGCTCTTGCAGCGGAGGGTTGTTCAGTGTCTTCCATCCGATGCGATGGCGCAGGATCGATGCAGGTGCGAAAGGAGTGCGAGTGTCATACCGAACACGGGACGGGACGAATACTAACATCCGGCCGCCGGTAGTACTGGGCGCCTTGGATGACTCATCAGCGCTAGATTACCTAGGTGGGATTCCGTTGGCCAGATGAGTAACCATGAAACTAACACAATCGTCGCACTGCATCATGCGAAACCATTCATACTGAACAACTGCTCGATATAACACTAACCCTTCTCGATCCACAACCTTTCCAACTTCTATACCATTTCCGAGTTATTTAAACATTCCCAGAGCTCACTACCTGACCATCCTGAACCTTGAAACTACTGGGGAGTTCCACTGTCATCCAAACTCAACCAGTTTCGAAATGTAAATTTGACGCCAAACGCAGCCCGTACCAAATCGTCGCTCCAATCGCGATGAGGTTCAGATGTATGCTCATTGCATGAGTCCTAGAGAAAGCTCGATTGAGACTCTTCATATCGTCGCTCATGGTTCCCTTGAGCTGTGCTTTGTTGTCACGAGTTGCTAGTTCATGCATCAGCCATCAAATGTTGATTTGAGCGCGCTGTAATGCCTACATTGGTGGACCCTTTCAATCATCAAAGCTTGTGTCCTGGGGCCAAAAACGACCAAATTGAACCCTGCAGTGACCCCAGCAATGGCGAAAGCTATCCAATCTCCTCTCTTTTGGAATATCGAAATCGGCCCATGAGGCGGAAATGTCGCCGCAACGATGAGCAGAAGGATTGATTGGCTTTGGAAGTATATCGGAAAGACACGTTTTTGCAAAGTCGTAAAAGCTGATCTGGGGAGAGCTTGATAAGCGACCTTGGTCATTACGAAACTTTGATACAGCTCGGTCCCAAGCAGTGTGGAGTAAGCTAGAAGATGTGCAGGCGGGAGGATGGACGAGAAAAGCCCAGGCAAAGCTTGTACAGCGGCGCCCATTTGGTTTTCGAGAGGCATCGTGTTTGATTCAAAAGACATTATAGAGAGTAGTCTTCCTGGCGGCACCCGCAAATCTTTGAATTGCGCTGCCGCCTAGCAGGTCGGACTTGATCGGAGGTGGTGTAGCATTTGCATCCGTGCCGGTGGGACTTGGAACAAACCTGTGTGCGTTTCCTCGCACAGCTGGAGTTCCTGCAGTTGGTGTATCCAAATTACCGACTGTTTTCCTATTCTCGTCTCCATCTTGAATCGTTGTTCCACACAGCTTTTGAAAGCGTGGATGCCTTGCATCGATCAAGGCCACTTTCGAGACTTTCTGCCTGGCCGGCTATCGAAGGTTTAACCGCTATACAATAGTATGTGATAATCTTGCACTGCTAGTTACACCATGCGACATCAGTGTATGGAGTTTGAGGATGTTCTGCCCATGACGCTACGAACGTCCTCGGGCCACATTACCGCGAGGTGCCTGACGATTAGCGGCGCACCCCGCAACTCCCTCCCCATCTACTCCAGCTTCACGGGGATCTACAACCACCACCCGGCTTCTGGAATTCCTTCCGCGCATCACGAGCGCTTGTAGAGCTGCTTCAGGCAAAGCGAAGATGCAATATCGTAACGCAAATTTGGAAGATCTATGTCATCCATTCCGCCGGCTTCATGGCTGAGCATGGATAGCTGTCGCCCTGCTAACAACGTACTTATGTACCAGTTCAAGCTCACTTTATAGGGCTCATTTCAAGGTCACCCAAAATCAATCGCAAACATTCATCATGCGCGTAACACCTTTCTCTCTCCTTCCCCTTGCTCTTGCAGCACCGGTGGTCATCTCCAGGCAAGTCGAGAAGCCCATATATTGGCTGCTGGCCGGCGACTCAACAACAGCAACCAACGGCGGATGGGGTGACGAGTTTCTTTCCAAAACTGTTGCGGCTGGCTCATCAGGGCACAACTACGGGCACAGCGGCGCCACAACGCGATCCTTCCGTGCCGGCGGCGATTTGGCCAGCGTCACCAAAGACATCGGCACATACAAGGAGGACTACAACGTCTACGTGACGATTCAGGTATGCCAGTATAAGAAGAAAGGTGGAGAATGCATAATTGACACCACGATAGTTCGGCCACAATGACCAAAAACCCACCTCCGGAGTCTCCCTAACAGACTACCGCAATAACCTCGCGACCTTTGCTTCCGAAGTCGAACAAGCAGGTGCCACGCCCATCCTCGTAACTCCCCTAACGCGCCGCACATTCAACACCACAACAAAACGCGTCATCGAGAACCTGTCCAACGAAACCGCAATCACACTAGATGTAGCTCAGTCCAACGACTTGCACGTCATCGATCTTAACAAGGCGTCGACCGCCTACGTGAACGCGATTGGTCAGAAAGGGGCAGATACCTACAACTGGGGTGAGAATGGCACAACCGGGATGGATCGGACACATCTGAACCCATGGGGTGAGGTCGTGTTTGCGCGCATGGTCAGCGATTTATTGGTGGCCAAGTACGAGGATGAGTTTGCGGCATACACAGTCGCGAATGAGACTTTGAGTGGGCTGATTAGAGACGGCAAGGTGGCATAGGTGGTCGCTAGTTGATACATTCCTATAACAAGCAAAAAACTATCAATGGCCATGTTCCCAGCTCCAGGTTACGGACATCTTGCCGTAGCAATATGTCTGTTCATTCGTTATCGTGTCTCGTAGTGAGATGGCTTTGAAATAACCACGCCCTTATTGAAAGCAGGCGTGGGTAGACCTATAATCGTTGATTCGGTCTTCTCTTCCTTCTTTCCCTTTCCTCGTCATCATCTCCTCAATGAGATCGTCCAGAACTTCTCTAGAGTTCCTCTGCTAGATGTTATGCCACCAGTACCAACGGACACGATACGACGCCTTAAATCGCCTAAACAAACCCCCAAACATTAATCACTCCTCATCCATACCCCGACCCATCGTACCCGCCACTGGCCCACCTCCTCCCTTGCGCCTCACCCTGACCGTGCGCATTGCCGAACGTGCTTGTACTCGAGTTGGGTGTGTCCCAGGGTGCCGGCTGGCTACCAGTGTTCGTGTACTGGCTACTCTGAAACGAGGTCGTCGATGAGGCTGGACTTTGGTGTGGGTAGGGTACATAGGATTGCTGCACCGGATGTGGAGGTGGTGGGGGCGAGGTGTGGGGTGAATAATGCTGTTGCGGTGGCTGCGGTGGTCCTTGGTACATCCATTGCTGTGGCTGAACGAAGTGCTGCGACTGTCGCTGTGGCATCGGCGGTGGGTAGGATTGGTTCGGAGCTCCAAAGTAGCTGTCTTGCGGAGCCGCCATGGGAGGTGTTCCGTATTGAGGTGGTGAGGACACAACTTGTTGGCTAGGCGTAGCATAGTCATGCTGTGAAATTGATTGATCCAGGGGTGGCATGTAAGCCGATTGCCGCTGTTGATGGTACCGGCTGAGCGCTTCCAAGTTGGCGACTGACTTGCGGTTGACAGCCTTACTTTGTCTTTTGAGTCCGTTATCCGCGCTTGCCTTCCTATTAGGTTGAGGCACGCTAGGTATCGATCCGGCTGAGTTGTGTCTTTCTGATACTAGAGACGAGGCCGAGTATTGCCGTTGTCGGTGCTCCATGGGTGATCGCATCCGCTCAGGCGTTGATGATGGCGACTGCGTTTTGCCTTGAGCAAATAACGGGGCAGGATAGCCAGCATAAGATGGAACTGGAGGTGGAGAGCTTGCGTTGGTAGTATGAGTTGGAGCCTCTACATTACCTGGCCTGAGGTGGAAAGGCAGACTCCAAGGCTCTTGAGGGTGCTGGCTGTAGGCAGAATCGGACTTCATCGCATAGTCGTGCACGCTAGAAGGGCGTTGATCCGCCGTCGAAGGCAATGGCGGTACAGGAGGACGGCGGTTGATTCCAACGCTGAGACTCGCTGGAACCTCTCGGCGCTTCACGGTTCTGAAGCGCTTCACCGTCGGGTAACGTTTGCAGCGGTCCTGTGCGTCTTTCAATAGTTTCCGTATCTTCACCTCTTCAGACAACTCTTCTTCCAGTTCCAGGTCGGTGACGCTGCCTTCGTCGGTCTTTCCCGACACGGAGACACCATCGGCCTCCCATTCGTCATCCTCGTCATCTTCTTCATCCTCCTCGTCGGAGTCTTCGTCGTCCTCTCCATCATCATCCTCCAAATCTGAGTTAAGTCCCTCCTCTTCTGGGGCATCAAGTGCTTCAGTCGCCAATCCTCTAATCGGATGCCGGGTGTATACGTTAGCACCTTCCTTCAACAGAGCGTCAACGCAAGCCGATTGACGATAGGCACAGGCTTCGACGAGAGCTTCGTCCAGTAAGTGGTCTGGAGGCTTCATCGCAAGGAATTTCTCAAGGATGGCTTTGTTCCCTCTGATGGAAGCCGCGGCGATGGCACTTCGATACATCCCCCCTTGAACCCGGAAGTCTGCCCCAGCATCTAGCAGCTTGACGACCACGTCAATGCGGCTAAAGTAAGAGGCAGCTATAAGAGCAGTATGGTATTTGCCCGCGTGGTGGTTGACAAGTTCGGGAGCCCGATCAAGCAGTTCGTCGATGATGGTCATATCGGCCTTCATTGCTGCTGTTTGGAGAGCATCTCCATACTTGCCTCCTTTGGCATGCACATCGGCTCCATGTTCTATGAGTAACCGCATCACATCCAAGTCGTTTCCACGAACTGCAGCAGCTACAGTTGACCCAAGCAGGCCTCCTAGCGCTGACGCATTAGCACCGTTGTCGAGTAAGCGCTGAACGACTGTTATATCGCCAGACTGAG